AAAAAGATTTGTCTCAAAAAAAGTAAATCTTCGAATATTTTTGCTATTTTTTACTATATTATAGAATTTGTCTTGAAAAAAATGAAGCTATTATTAGAAATTGGGTTTTATTAAACAATTAAAAGTTAAAATTTATAGTTTATATCAGTAAACCATTAAAATAGTTTGTGTTATAGAATTAAATATATTTCAATAAACTCATTTAAAACCTGTTTAATAATACTTAAAAATTATGTAAAAATGTGGGTGGTTATTTTATTTTGTGATTTATTTCAAATCAAACTTGAATCATTTTCTATTTTTGAATAAAAAATACAAAAAAGAAGAAAAATTAACAATAATGACCCGATTTTTCTTTTTTTTTCATGTTCTGGAAGTAAAAAAATACAACAATTGTGATAAAAGAAGTAATTAGAAAAAAGGTGCGGGTTTTTCTCCAGGCGTGGGTTTCTCGCCTCACTTTACAACAAAAATTAATACCGTATATCCTTAAAAAACCGGTCCTATCGTTTTTTTTATTTTCAGCAAAATTAAAACCGGGTCTATTGGGGTGTGATAAAGTGGTTGTAAATGATAAACCCCTTGTCGATTTTGGTCGATCTTCCATTCGAACCAAATGTAAAACATAATTCATTTATTTATTTGTTATTTTGTCTGCTTAAAAACCCTGGTTCACTTTGTTTTTTGCACACTTTTTGGAACAGCTTTGAGAATTTAAGACTTGAGTTATTTTTATTTTCATTTTTTATCCAATCAGACGAAAGACATTTTGGAATGGATTTTAGTTGTTTTTCGTTTTAAAAAAATACAAAATGTGAATTTTTTTGTTCCGGAGAGGCGTGACGGGTAAAATGAACATATTTTTTAATAAAAATTAACTTAAAGAGGAAAAAACACTCGAGTTTTTTAGTCAACTACAAAAACAGACTTTATTTCTTCAATATTAAAACATTGTTTATAAAATCATATTCATGACTTGATATACACTTTATGTGGTGTATATTTTTGAAGTATTATTTTGTGAAAAAAACGCTCTACAAACAAAAGAGTAACAGTCGAGAAAAAAAATGACCCTATGTTAAAATAACTTTTGTTCATTTAAAGTCAATAACGGAATATAAAAATAAACACTTTACTATATGTGTCATGTTCGTTACATTGAAATTAATTTTAAACATCGTCTTGTGTAATTAGATCAAATATTAAGAGGTGCTAATTTTTAAAAGAACCAGTTGTGTTTAAAAATAAATTAATAAAATAGTTAAATTATATTATAAACATAGTTTAATAATTACTATCATGAATTTTATAGGTATGCATATTTATATTGTTAATGTGTGTTTGAACATGAAAATGAACATTCTTTGAGCTTTGGATGATATACAAACACAATAATTATTCATTAACACGTTTATACATAAATTAAAAAATAATACAAATAATAATAATTATTCTATTTATTATTAAATTAGAATTTGTCTTTATTTAAATTAATCAACAAATAGAATATGATTGTGCCATATTCAAAACAGTCTTATAAAATATGCAAAGTAAATTTTGTGTATTCAAATATGTAGTGCTGTTGTATTCAAATAATATTTAGAAATGAATCTTGACACAAATAGAGTCAAACACATTACTCAATAATTGTATGATATAAAAACAGAATAAAGAAAAAGTAATAATATGAAAGAAAAAAATAAGTTATTTTTAGTGTTATTTGTTATCAATTATATTTTATAGTATTCATACTATTACAAGTTAAAAAGTTAAAAAATGTGAGAGTGATGTTAAGTGTTTATTTTTTTGCTGGCTTTTTTGTTGTTGTTGACTGTTTGTTTGATATTTTTGTGTTTTGAATTCCCAAGTTTTGAATAAAATAATAAACAAATTTTATTATTGGATTTAGTTAATTTTTATAGTATATAGTTTTTTTCGTCTTTTATTTTTTAATAATTTGTTATAAAAAATTATAATATTATTATTATAAAATATAATAAATACAATAATAATCAGTTTTGTGTATTTTTGTATTTTTTTAAAAT